TGGATATTTTGAAAGAAGAAGAAAGAGAAAATGAACCCTAAGAAACGATGCTTATGAGCAAAAGGCAAGAGAGTAGGTAGGAAGGGAAGCTGATGAAAAAACAAAAGCGGGTGGGGGGGTCCCCTGCAATGCGTACCAAGAAAGAACATGAAAGAAGTACATAGGCACAAGTCGCGATGGAGATCAATGAAGATGGAATGAACGCAAATAACCGATGATAAGTGTTGACTGCACACATGGTCCTTCCTTCCTTCCTTCCTTCCTTCCTTCCTTCCCTTCGTTCCCCCCTTGCATCCTTCCCTCCTTCCCTCCTTCCCTCCTTCCCTCCTTCCTCCTTCCCTCCTTTCCTCCTTCCCTCCTTTCCAACTTCCCTCCTTTCCTCCTTTCCTCCTTCCCTCCTTTCCTCCTTCCCTCCTTCCTTCCTTCCTTCCCTCCTTCCCTCCTTCCTTCCTTCCCTCCTTTCCTCCTTTCCTCCTTCCCTCCTTATTTCCTTTCTTCCTTCCTTCCTTCCTTCCTTCCTGCCTGCCTGCCTTCCTTCCTTCCTTCCTTCCTTCCCTCCTTTTCTCCTTTCCTCCTTCCTCCTTCCCTCCTTTCCTCCTTCCTCCTTCCCTCCTTCCTTCCTTCCTTCCTTCCCTCCTTCCCTCCTTCCTTCCTTCCCTCCTTTCCTCCTTCCCTCCTTTCCTCCTCCCCCCTTTCTTCATGGTCATTTATTTTTTTTGATACATTTATAGTTTTTTTTGATGCATCTTTATTTTTTTTGATGCATTTTTATTTTTTTGATGCTTCTCCCGATCGTTCCCAAAGAGGACCAAAACCCCTTTTCACCACGCCATTTGGTGGAAGATACCACTGTGACCGTGAATGTCATGGTCTTAGACATGCCAAGGAAGTTTGTCTGACGCCACGATGTCACAGATGTGGCCCACAGCCAGACGTTCCCCAACATAGGCTGTATGCGATCTCACATGGATATGCACTTCATGTTGATTATGAGCATTGTCGTGATGCGGGATCCAATGGTCCACTTCGGGCCTTCAATCCATGTGCGATTTGCTGCACTGCAGATGATAGACTTGTTATGACTTGTTTAGAGGGCTTGAGCTGAATATGTGGTCAGTGGAACTGATCACATAGGGGGAGTGCGTGTAAGAATTCCATGCATCCCTATTTACCCAATGCTCAAATGGAAATACTTCCACTTTTGCTTTGACTTCAACCCACCGGGTGTTGTCCAGACTTCAACTCACCGGGTGTTGTCTAGGAATCCTGAAGAACCTGCATCTGGGCCGGACCGAAGCCTTTTAGATGTCAAGCGGCACAAAGGTGCGTCAGCTAGCAGCGAGGTGGCTGCTTGGAGTTTTGGGGAAACTTGGTTTTGTTTTTTGGGTTGAAACATTTGTTTTTTCCGGTTGGGGTCGGGATCTCAGTTGCTGTTCAGGGTTCCAGGACGGTTCACTTGTTGGCATTGGGAGGCTTCAGGAAACACAGAAACCATGGAAACCGTGCAAACTATGAAAACCGTACAGAAATCTTGGACAACAGGGAAACCATGGAAACCGCAGACAAATCATGGAAACCATGGAAACCATGGAAACCGCAAAGAAATCATGGAAACCGTGGAAACCATGGAAACCATGGAAACCGCAAAGAAATCATGAAAACCATGGAAACCGCAGACAAATCATGGAAACCATGGAAACCATGGAAACCGCAGACAAATCAAACCATGGAAACCATGGAAACCGCAAGAAGAAATCATGAAAACCATGGAAACCGCAGACAAATCATGGAAACCATGGAAACCGCAGACAAATCATGGAAACCATGGAAACCATGGAAACCACACAGATATCATGGAAACCATAAAAACCATGGAAAACCGCAGAGAAAAATAGAAACCATGGAAACCATGGCACAGAGTGTGTCGCGTTTCAAAATGAGTAATAAAGTCGCGTTTCAAATTGAGTATTATCCCGCGTTCTAAAACGAAACCTTCCCGCCGTGGAGCTCGTTGTGGGCCTCACAGATGATCTGGTCGCAGGTTCGAAGTAGATGACGTGGAACAGGTAGTTCACCATCGGCATAGGTCTCGGCCGTGATGTCGTCATCCACAGTGATGAAGGCAGATTCCTGTTTGCAGAACTCCTCATAGCCAACAGGTCGTGGATCCAGGTCGCCATCAGGAGCCAGTTGCAAGTCAAACTGGAGAGGCAAAGGCTTCGACCAGTCCACAGGTTCAGCAGGATCCCAAAGTCCAAGCAGGTATTCTCCATGTAGGCCGATTGTGGCTGGTCGCCAGGGTCCATTGCGCAGCTTGATCTGCTTCTTCTCGAAGTCCATCGTGATCCCCAGCGCCTCAATGATGGGGCGTCCACAAAGCAAAGGAGTTTCGCCAGCCAACAAAAAGACTTGAGCTCGGCCATGGTTGCCACTGATGCACATTGGAAGTTCAACAGCCCAATGTGCCCAAGATTCACCATCACCTCCAAAATGAAACTTGTGCCTGCATCGGAAAAACTTCACATCAGCCACTAGGTAACCTTGTTGTCGGAGAAAGTCCAAATACCGACGAACAGGTCCATAGCCGCTGAGGTATGCTGAAGCTCCAGGATCCAGCATGGTGACATCTGGCCTCTCAGCGCCAGTCTGGTCCTGGAAGGTGACATGGGCGTTCTCCAGCATCGCCACGCTCTCAGTTGCAGCTCGCTTGGTTCCCTTTGGACTCGAACTGCCTTGAGACTTGCTTGGCATGGGGCAGTTCACAGCGAAGTGTCCAGGTTGTCCACAACGAAGACAAGTGAGTGCAGCTTTAGAGCGTCCTCGAGGGTCAGCAGGCTTCATGGGGCTTTTGTTGTAGTGGTAAGTTCCCGACTTACCTTTGGAAGGCTTGCCCTTCGATTTGCCCTTCTTTCCTTTGGAGGACGGGCTGCCAGCAGGTGAGGTCACACCAGGGGCCAAGTTGCCAGCCGCAGGGTCATTCAAGGCGACCACAGGGAGGAATCCTCGAGCCAGCTTCAAGTCAGAGAAGCGACGTCGAGCATCCACATAGGCTGCATAGACCTCGTCATAGGTGTCCACGTCCTGCAAGACAGTCTCAGATGGATCGCCAGCGGTCTCCTCGTACTGGTAGTAGGCGGCCTGAGCATCAAACTCATCAGCTTCATCCCATTCATCATCGTCGCCACCATAGTACGAAGGTGATCCATCATCGCCCTCATAGTAACCCCATTCATCAGTCCATTCATCCCCATAGTTGTTGTAGAGCTCTTCAGAGTCCGCCGCATCCACAGCCACATAGCCACGGTTTCGTCCACCCTTTCCAAAGCCACGTCGGTCATGAAAACCAGCCTGAGTCGTGTGCTTGTAGTCCTGCCCAAGCACCAAGTACAAGGCTTCAGTGACCTTGGAGATCTCGAGCTGAGGTGCTCTCAGGGTGATCAACTGCTTCTGCTCCTTGGTGAGGTTGCAGCGTCGTAGAAGGTGCCAGCCCTGCACGGCATTGGGCAGGTCCACGCCATGCTTCGACAAGCGCTTCAGGTGCTCGTTGTGGAGCGTCACAAACTCCATCAAGGACTGCCCAGACTTCCTCGAAAGCCCAAAGTAGGCATCGAAGTCTGCCGGCAGCTGCACCCGGCTATCGTACTCGAAGTGCTGGTCCAGGATCTTCAGGATGCCTTCAAAAGATCCTTCCTTCTCAGCTGTCGTCACGTCGAAGTCCTCCATCAAGCGCCAAGCAGCGCCGGTCAAGGTGCTCACCAAGTTGATGACTGCTTCACCACGGCGGTTTCCCAGAGACATCTTTGCATGGTACAGCTGTATCCTTTTCCTCCATTCTCGATAGTCAGCCGGCTGTCCCGTGAACACAGGGATGTAGGAGTCGCGCTGTGTAGGGCTCTCCGGTGATGTCGCGGCAGTTGACATTCCTTAGGAAGTCCTTACCTTCGAATTCAGTGATCCAAATCAGGTGCTGGAAGGTCTGATGGCCGGTGTTATACTTTAAGAAGTCCAGCACTTGGATCAGCGCAGCAAGGCCAGCGGAACGGCTGGCTCCGCTACCAATGCAAAAGCCAGGGAAGTTCCCACCTAGCTCCCAGCCCAGCCGCACGAGGTGCCAGGCCGCAAACAGCACGGTGCGCCTTTTCAGGCTCGCATAGCCATGTAGGCATCTAAGATCCCACCCTGGGCCAATAGCGGCGGTGGTCGGCAAATAAAAGGGTGAAAAGGAGATGTTCAGGCTAGGTGCATGGCATGCAACTTCACAGATATAATTAATATAATTAATATAAATAATATAAATAATATGTATATACTGATACTGATATATATATAATATATATATACGCACAATATAGATATACAACACCAAGAATGTGAAATTTGGACTTTGTCCGGTTAAATGTGGGATGGGCCCCTCAATGTATGACCACTTAAATATTACTGTAATGTACAATGATGATAAACCCGGGGTTTAAAGTACTTTCAGACATCAACCGCAATAACTGGATCCTCCAACAAAATACTGAAGTACCAAGCTGTCAAACAAACATCTGCAGCATTTCGGCCGTGGGCCCAGTAGCCAAAGCCCCACCAGACATGTTGATGGGGTAGGCTATACAGCTATTACAGCTATACAACTATCCATGTTTTCTTGAGGCTGGGGTCCTACCTGGATTTGACTGGGATGAACCAATCAGTGCATTTAGAAGTCTTAATTACCATCAACCAACAGATCTTTATTTCAGGATATTACACCCATCAACCAGTAGATCTGGGTGCCAAGATAAAAAAAAACCTTCCACTGGGGGATGGTCATGTGACCGTTTCTACTAAAATTGGGGGATTCTTTTTGGGTTTACCACATAACTAACCCAAAAATCTAGTTCTAGGGATGACCTAAACTACAGTAGCCTCGTTTGTTGGGCTTTGACCTCCATTTTTGTCTCAAATCCCATTTTTTAACGCTCACGAAGGGTGCCGGGAACCCACCCACCCTTAAGCACCTGCTTGTCCCAGTCGAACTTCTCACACAAAATCTTGGCGCGCTCCTCACGATCGTCCCCAAGACTCACTGCTACGCCATTTTTCTCAGTAGAAAAACCTGTAACTTGGGGACGATTGCCCACTGAAATACTGCCCCACATCATCTGCCGTTTCCATACTGAAAACACCCCAACTTTTCCAAGCGAAAAATCATCAAAACATCCCAGTCATCAACTCAATCCAGTCAAGTCCCAGTGAAAAATCATCAAAAAACGAGAACAATCATCAGATCTCTGCCAAACCAGCCCCATCCCCCCAGGCTCCTTGGGATCGGCCTTGGGTCCCACAACGCCATCCTCAATGGCCTTGCTGAGCTCTTCGTCCATGGGCTCAGCCTTCAGGTAGATGCCTCAACAGCAGGCCATGGCAAAAATCATCGGAACAGCCATGGGAAAAACCATCGGAAAAAAAACTCGATAGATAGAGCTTTATAGCTGGGAAAATCTCTAACCATATGGCGGTGTCCTAAAATGTTGGTACCCCAGTCGTCACCATGGTTGGATGATTTGGGGTACCTCGAAAGGGAAACCCCCATGGGGATTTGTCAAGAAAAAATATGGGGATGATGATGGCATATGTTTTCTTAGACGAAACAAATGGGAGATGTTAGAAGTTCGAAGTTGGGGGGAGTTTCAACGGTAGTTTAGTGTTTCTGCTACCTGAAACGGCAAGCAAGAGTTGGAGAAATCCTTCACAAATCTTCAAACGAAATGGAGATTGTTTTTTGAAACAACAAAATTGGGGAGACAACCAAGTTGCACGAAGAATCAGGGGTTCTACACCCAGGGGATCGTGTACACCCCAAACACGAGCCAGTAGAAACAGAGGTCACCGTTGGTCACCTGTTGTCAAGGCAGTTGCAGCAGTGGTTCATTTTTCCCACTAGAACTGAAGCCAATTAGAAACCACCAACCAGTTTGAAACTGGAGGTGCAACCACAGCATCACATCATTTCCCAGTGACTGGAATCTTTAAAAATCGCTTGGCATCCTCTGAATATCCAAATAGCCTATTCATACGGGGACAATGACAGGTCATTCATCAAAAAAAACAATTTCTTACCCAGTCTTCAACCCCCCTACAAACCAACTCCAGGCTATATCCCTCTTATATAAATTCAGCATCACGATGTTATAAATAGCCAACAACACGTACAGTACTAGGTCTTCAACAGGATCAGGGTCCAAAACTGCTGCCCCCCAAATATATAAGTTGGTTTATAAGCCCAACTAACTAGTTTTATACAGTATATCTACCGTAAACCCAACAGTTAAAATAATTACCCTCCGGTGACCAAACCAAACATGGCGTGCTGGAAAATCTTTCATTTAGAGATGGTTTTCCCAGCTAGACACCTGCATTTATAGGGGATTTCCCATTGCCATGTCTGATTGCCAGAAGAGTCGAAAGTTCACCGTTCCTTTCCTAGCTTTTGGTAGGAAGACCATGGGCTTCCTGCATCTTTTTCTTTACAAAACAGGGTCATTTCCTATGTGATTTCAACCAGCTCTGGGATGATTAAATATGACCCCCCCTATGAATGATGGTTACCCCCCTATTACCCTCTGGTAATTTAACATAGCTATTGAAAATGGCCATTTATAGTGGATTTTCCCATTGAAAATGGTGATTTTCCATAGTTATGTTAGTTTACCAGAGGGTAATGGTCGAAAAAAAGTCCTTGACACCGGTGCCGAAAACTGCCAGGCGGCGGTTGTGCTTGTTGGGCGACTTGGCCAAGCACGTCTGGTTGGACTCCTCGGCGACGGTCTCGCGGTAGGACACCACGGGGTCGCTGACGATGAAGTCGCACTGGGCGTACTCGTCCTTCCTTAACGGAGTTTGGATGGTAAATGATCATTTTTGGGGGCTTATCATTCCACAAATGGGGTTGTAACTTTATAACTTTATAATTTATAACTAACTTAAAAAATAAAAATAAAGGGCCATAAGTGTAGGAATCTAAGAATTTGTGATACTGATAGTATAAAGTTATGATATGTTGTGATAATGACAACAATGACAAAAACTATCTGGATGATCAAAGGCCGCTTTCGGAATTGCTCCTTTGTGCATATTCCAAGGGACAATATTTCTTTGATAAATCGGCCAGGTATAAGTCATATCGAGTCATATCAAACAAACCATCCACTTTTTCAGGGACACAAAAACTTGAAGCATAAGCGATGTCTTTTCATGGAAAGTAATAGAACAGTTCATGGCTCCTATGGAGTTCACGAAACCTGATTTTTGCTGCTGACCTACTGAGAATCGCTGCAAACTCCCCTAGTTGTTGATGATCAAACCAATCATTCTACCCATTTATTTGCAGCTCTCTTACCCTCTAGTAATCAAACATGGCTTGCTGGAAAATTCCATTTACTTGGATGATTTTTCCCTCAGATGCCCATGTTCTTGCGGATTTCTCAGCCACGTTTGATGACACTCGAAAACATGATCCACTTCCCAACTGCCATATCCTCACCTCCAACTAGCGGCTTCGTCTGAAAATGGTCTCATTGAAATTCTATTATGTGACATTGTATCCCATGATATTCCATGAATATCCACTAATATCCCATCAATATCCCACTCATGTTCCATTGATATTCCACAAAAAATCACCCTACTCTTCCATTCATCCCTCATGAAATATTCCACTAATCTTCCATTGCCATTCATCTTCCATTTCCCCAGATTTCCCCACCGAGTCGCAGATCTTTGAGGCAGATCTCCACGTGCAGCTCGCCACAGCCGGCGATGACGTGTTCGCCGCTCTCCTCGGTGGTGCAAACCACCAGGGGGTCCGACTTGGACCTCGGAGCGCGGAGGCAAAAAATGGGGCAAGGGACGGGGATGGATGGGCGGTACTTTTTTTGGTGCCCTGGAGATCAAATGGAAGAGTGGGAGATGAATGGAATATGAGTGGAATATGAATGGAATATGAACAAAATATGGGATACGAATGGTGCCCTGGGTTGAGCCCATGTTCTGACTCAATGTCCCTAAATTGAGCTCCGAATGCCATCTGGTGAGTCTGGTGAGTCTAGTTCCCTAGCTGAGGTGCAGCTGGTCAAACCCCCATCCCCAACTTTGGTCAGGAAGCAGCTTCTTCAAACCCTCCACCAGCTTTGGAAGGTCCTTGAAGCCGCAAATGGAGGTGTTTTGGTGAAAAGTGGCTGGCCCTTTCCAAGAATGGCTAGGGATGGGATAGGGGCATCTTATGAGGTTGAACGTTGAGGTCCCACGAACCGGAACCAGGCCATTGGACTGTCCGCCTGGTTGCCCTGGTTGCCAACATGTTACGCGTGTTTTCTTCAAAGCTTGCTGAGGTAAAGACAGATTCTGTCTTCATTTGGGGATGGATCAATACCTATTAATACCATTTTTAGGGGGATGAACATCCATTTACCAGCTATTTTGATGTTCACCAGGGGTACAAGGTTTTGAGACACTGCCATTTGGGTTTGGCTCAGTCTTCACACCGGAAAGTGGAGGCCCCAACAGTAAAAGCCTACAACGCCTGCGACTTTGACCGTTCCAGGGTCCTAAAATGCCTGCGATTTGGTGGTTTCTAAAGCCATGGCAGACCCCAAGGAACCATCCACGTTATCGGTCAATGGAGAAACCGATGGTTTTGGGGTACTCCAAATTTTGGTGAAACCCCCCATTTGCGATTGTCCACTTTACAGCAAGTATATGTTTTCATAGAATGTTGATAATTAATGAATGATAGTCTTCGTAAAAGGTAGTAGAAAGTGATAAAAAGTATTGACTACTCACTAAATCAACGTGAAACATTGGTGCCTTACCATCCTTACCATCCATAGATTTTTCTACTCCATGAATCATTGGTGCCTTCGCCCTGCAGGCCCTGCGGCATCGGTCCTTACCATCCTTTGCTTTTACGGCCACCTTCACAACAGGCGACACGCTGTACCTGGAGAACGGGCGAACGGTGCGAACGCGCGGCCAGGAGTCGGTAAGAAAAAACCCCAATCTGAAGCAGAAACCATTGGGTCTTACCCAAAGGGACCCAAAATAAGTCTGTCTTGCAGATTTCCCATTGAACCAAGTCCGGAACTTTTGGGGTCCTCACTACTAGACTACTGGAGGCTAAACTAGCACTTCAAATCAGCTGCAGCTTGTGCATGTGCCGCACCGCTTGAAGCCGAGACACTTCATGTCAGCGATGTTGTGGGCATCCTGTCGGTGACTTCCTACGTCAGAAACCTGCCCATCCCATCTGAAAAATCAGTTAGAAAAATATTCCTATACAAAAGGAATCCAAAGGAATCCAAAGGGATCCAATCAAAAACATTCAAAAACTACCCTCTGGTAATTTAACATAACTATGGAAAATCCACCCATTTTTAATGGGAAAACTCACTATAAATGGTCAGATTTGGGCCCCTTCAACTCCCCTGGTCCCAGCCTCCAGGGTGGTGATGGTTCCTGACTTCAGGATGTACTGATCGACGCCCACGAGCGCCACGGTGTTGCCACATGGCACGTCCTGGATCTGCTCGGTGGTGCGGCCCATCATCAGCACGGTGCGCTGGATGTTCTTCACGTGCAGGTCCTCCTTGCTTCCTGAGAACTTGGACATTGGATCATGCAACTTCACTAAGAAGTGCTGAGGCATACTCAAGTTGTACTTGTTGTATAAATAGTTGTATGTATGTATATATATATATATTAGATAGTGATATTATGTGTATATATATATATAATTATATATATAATTATGTATTATTTATATATATATAATTATATTATATATATATAATTATATTATATATATAATTATATTATATAATATATATATATACTTATATATATATACTTATATTATATATAATTATAGATATACATTGAGGGTTCAAGCAGCTGTAGACCCAAATCTCCCCCGCAGGCGGTTTCGCAAACCTAACCCAAGCCATGCCTTTCTCTACCCCATGCAGGCTGTTACTCCAAATGATAACACGGGCCGGTGAGCTGCACCAAATGCTGATTCTCGCGAATCCATGGTTCGTCATCGTCCCAGTCAGTTGATTCATCTATGGTGATCACAATGGGGACCCTGAATAAATAAACCTGATATGAGAATATGTTCGTCTGTGACTGGCCTAAGCGATGAAAGTCTGGGTTTGCCTGAAATAAGGCCCGCTGAGATAGCACAAAGGACATAGAATTGCAATTGTCGAACAGGATAAAGCCGTGAGAATCTCTGTCGTAATGTTGTAACTCAGCGGCCGTGGCACCCTGGACAGTTTGAATGAAAGGAGGCTTCTGGATATACGTAGGCAAAACGAAATGGAGGCATTTTGCCAAGGTGCTTTTGCCAGCGCGCGAAGGCGCCCGGAGCACAAGAAATTTGTACCGAGAATCTAAAATGGAATACTGTTTGGCCCAGTCTTCGACTCGGGCAACCACTTCTGGCAAAAATGGCTTTTGCAATGGCTGGAGCTGAGCCACCACTTCGGCCTGCTCACGTCGGAGGCGACTTTCGCTCTCCTGCTGCATGACTGCTTCCACAGCGCGTTTGCGGGTGATATAGCCCAAGCGCACCTGCAACCTGCTGCACACGGTGTTGACACTTTTATAGTGATAATTCTGGAGACATTGGCCCTCTTTCTGAAAATGCATCTATAGAATCAGAGACCCCAAGGTATTTTCAAGTTGACAATCTCTTTAGAATCGCTGCCCCCAAGTCACTCTCGTAGAGCCGTTTTTTGGTTGGGGGGGTTAGTTGGCCTTCTATAAAATCAGGCTCCCCAAGTGTCATTCATTGACAGCTGACCTGAATGCTCCAGTTGCTCTTGCCTACCTTACCTTATGCATTCCCAATTTTATAGAGCTCAAAGGCTCCAAGTGTTCACTGTCAACCTCTTCGATTATATACAAGGATGATCAATGATGATGAACGAATTGTTGTGGGAAATTTGTTCTGCCAATACTTCTCTATAGAATTGAAGAACATGACATACACCCAAAGAGAACATATCCAACTATAGAATCGCAGTGGCTAAGGCTCTCTGCTGACTAGGACTCAGTGCTGTATTCAACATGAAATCTCTATAGAATCAGAGGCCCCAAGGTCCTCTATACAATTGAAAGCGTTGACACTGGGTAGGTACCCCTAAACAAAGCAGGGGGTTAAAACGCACCATTTTCCAGGACCCAACGTTCTTGATTCTGTAGAGGAAATTCCAAGGGGGATATTTGAAGGTATCTGAAGATATGTTACGGCCAAATTATTGCTTATGTGCGGACACTTTAGCAGACTCGAAGCAGCACTTTTATAAACAACATAGGTGTTTGTGACGTTCCCTATTCTATGAAATGGACCTGCTATGAAGTGGTCCCACTGAAATTCACATTGGGTTTATGTTATGTTCCGTTTCATACAAATCTTTTCGGGGTTGTTCAATATTCTGGTACCCGAAAACTGCCCGCACGCCACCCTTTCGCGAACCGTTCGCGCCCCAGCAGAATAGGGACAAGGAATTCTGATCATGTTATCGTGCGCATATGTGTTTATAAATAGTGGTATGCAGACCTCGTTGAATTTTAAGGTTTCTCCATCCCACTTTATTACTTGTATATTATGGTACCCATATTCCAGACCACATAAAATATGATAAAGAAACATTTATAGTATGGGTTTAATCATTTCATCCGGACATGGGTTCTTCCCTTCCATATAGAGCTTCAATCAAGGGGGATCGATAAACAGCTATTGACAAGTCAACTGCAATGACACCGCCTAAAGTGAGTCTTTGGCATCCGCACCCCTGGGTCCATGTATATATATATATAAATAGATATATATATATCCATAGATAGATATAGATAGATATAGAAAGACATATCTTTGTATAGATCTGTCTCGAAGAGATATATATATATATGTGTGTGTGCGTGTGTATCTAAATCTCTCGAAAAATGTCTCTATATATCTACATATGCTGATCGCCATGCAGCCATGGAGCGTCCAATAAATGTGGACCCTGATGTATCTCCGGAATGAAAACAATGCTGCTTAACCCAGGCACGCGTACTGCAGGTACTGCTGATGAGAAAGCTTGTGCCCACTCCACAGCGCATCCAGCCATCTGCCCTGCACTGTGTAGTCCTTGAACGCCTCGTAGGAGCTGGTGGCAACGAAATGGGTTCCTACCTGCACAGATCGCCCGGGTGAATTCCACCCAGCACTCAAGGCATGTCAGCCGAGGAAATGATCTGGTGGTGGGTCCAGACAATTAGATTAGATGTGATGCTGGCGACGAAACAATCTACATATGCCGCTTGCTGTCAATTCCTGTCTCTGCAAACGGCCATTTATCGCGAAGCAAAAAGTTTCTTTCGCGCATCCTTCGCGAACTGCATGTGTATCTTTCGCGCAACCCATGTTGAGCAATAACTCCGCTTATGAAGATTCAATCGGCACGGGCCAAATCACACCAAATTAGCACGGAAAAGTGCTTCATAGCCTTGCAAACATTCTGCTAGCATCACGGAATCCCCTTCGCGAACAGGTTCTTGCTGCTGAGGAACTTTTTAGCAAGGCTTACTGGGCCACGCCCTTCAAAATGCCCTTTGACTTTACCTAGTCTTTTGCAGCACTTGCGTGCAACTGTCGTGCAAAGACTTGTCTCCGCAGACCACAGCCAGGAGCACGGGGGGGCGGCAAAGGAAAAGCAAACACCAGGTGCCTTGGTGTTTGGCTCTTGCAAAGTGTCCCTGTTCGAAGCTTGGCTGCTGCATTTCGCGGTTGTTTCTTGAGACTTCAGAAAGCAACGTTAGGCAGGACCAGCGGCAGGTGCAAGGATGTGCTTGGCCACCATGGTATTTGGCTCTGGCGAAGCGTGACCTTCGGAAGCTGGCTGCTACCTATGAAGGGAAAAGCCAATGTGCGGTCCCAGTCTCCTGCCGGACCCCCGACAGCAGGGAGGCGGTGGTAGCCCTTAACAAGCGGTACTGTAGACAATGAGGATGATGCATTCTAGCCACCGTTCGCGACACTTTCGCGAAGCAAACAGTTTCTGTTTCGCAAACAAACTTTCGCGCGGGGTCCCAGCACAAATGAACTGTGTTTGCAATTGAAACTCGTTATCAGGACCTTCAGATGGATCACCACATATATATGTTTATATGCAGAGATATATTTCGATATATCGATAGTGATAAATCTTGAATCAATGCGTACAAAGAAGAAGGATTGCCTATGCAAGACCAACCACGTAGATAGCGGTCCAATGAGTTCAGTTCATCCAAATCAGGCTCGTGGGTGCCCAGACCAAGGTGGCCTACAAAATGTTTGACTGCAAACACGATCTGCTGCAAAGCTGCCAGGTCTACTGATGATCAACTAGAAGCTACGTCATGCTGCTGCCACACGATCGGATTAGTGACAAAGGTGGCCTACATGAACTGCAACTTTCAACATGAGATAGAATGTCGTTACAAGGTAACCCAACGGAGATGCACCTTTGCAGCCCAAACGTAAAAATGTCCTTGGTCTGCCGCATCTCGCCAGCGTGCGCCCCGTGCCCGACATGGGGAAAGATTGGGCTGAATGCCCTTGAAACGGAGCGCCGTGCATGATTGCCAGTCGACGGGGCGGGCGAATTCCAGGAAGCAATGAATATGTAGACGGCCAGCATCCTCCGAACGCAAACTTGATTCCATCGTGGCACTCCATTTGCCGACCCACTCACACGTTGCAAGCCAAGTAAGGAACTCATCGAAATCCGCCAGCTGCAGCTGCAAGGAATTGTAGGTTACCAACACTGCTCGTGCTCGAAGACGAAAAGGGCGGGCATCACCTGTGAAAAATGTGCAACGATGAAGTGGCTGCGACTAGGACTCATGACTATACCCCTTCTAGTTCAGTCTCTCCCATCTGCATGCAAGGCTGAGGCTTGCCTACTGTCACTGATGCATGTCATGTCCATCCACTGCTCTAGGTCTCTTACCCTCCGGAAAGTACCGTCCCGGATGCTAATGGCAACTACTTGCGGTCTGACCTGGTCCTGGGGCTGCTGCCATATCCACATCCTCTTGGGTCGATGCTGCTGCACCAGCTTCGTCTGCTGCTGCAACGCCCTGCAAAGCTGAGTAGAAACAGTGTGAACCAGAAGGCCGTGCAAACCCAGCGAATGGTAGCACCAACCAGGACGGCTGAGCAAGTCGCAGCAGGGTGAGAAATGTGAAAAGTGACCCGAACAATGGGTCGCAGTCTGTAGCACCCGACAAACAGGTGAGGCACCTCATAGAGGTCAATGATGTCTCGCAGCTTCTGAGTGTCACTCGGAGACAAGGTGCAGTTCTCCAGGCGCTGTCGTTGCGCTGCAAAGTCGGCGCGAGACAATTCACCCCGAAATTTCGGCACCTCGAGCTGGTTGGCTTGCAGCAGTTCCCGCAACGACCCGCACGCAGCACGCTTCCGTGTCGTGGAGGATCTCATGGCTCGGCCCAAGTGCAATGCGGAAACATCCTGTCTGCATGGCATGTCTTGGGTGCAAGGCTCCAATGCGATGTGCTACGTCAGTTGCTTGCGACACCCCGCTTTGCTGTCAGGTGGCCCATTTCCTTTGGAGAGGGCTTGACACTAGAAACAGCAAGGAACTCACCACCACGTCCTTAAAGCAGAATGCAGGTCACAGGCTTGGGCATGAAAAAAGCACATGGAGCAGATAGTCTGCTAGGATTCCATTGTCACAAACAGCTGGACGTGAATATGGCCCACAGGTCTGGAAAAAGCGTGTCGACCGTTGACACCCAGGAATGCTGCTGATGATTTCCGCTAGAGAAATGTGACTGGTAGAGGCACGTGTCTGAGTAGCAATATCTACAGAGACGGTCTGCCCCAGAAACAAAACCGCTCACGGCCCATGTTTTCACCCGACGTGACTGCAGTTCTCTCCGGCTGCCGCTTCGCACACGTGCGATCCACAGACGCCATGCTGCGACAGCACTGCAAAAAAAAGGAATGGAAGCTGGAAGAAGGGGTGGAAAAGAGGTAGATGTGATGTGGGAACATGGCCGCTGCAAATGATGGAATGGGAAGGATGTGCATGGGGGTAATGTCTTAAAGCTGCTGTTGCTGCTGCGCGCGACAGTACGCAATTACTATAGGCGGGACCGCAGCGGGACCGCGGCGGGACCGCAAAATGTGGGAATTCCCACGATTCCAGGTTGCAGGCGGGACCGGTCCCGCCGTCGGCGGGACCACTTTACCTGTGAATTTATAGGAGCGGGACCGCATACCCCGTTTGGGAATTATAATAATATACCAGGGGGGGTCAGGTGATGTTTTGGAGGTGGGGTGTGGGAAGATTCTTGGGGAGATATCTTGTCTATCTAGCGTTGTATCCCTGGATGTCTTCTAAATGGGGTCTCTGGACCGCGCATGTCTTCCAAGCGCTTTGTCTTCGACATGGCGCTTGCAAGTCTGCGGTTTCCAGCTTTCACTCCTGCCGCGCTATGCCTTTGGCATTGGGATTTTCAGCCTTGACATGGTCTCATTCCAAGCGCTCTATGTCTTGACCATGGCGCTTGCAAGTCTGCGGTTGCCAGCTTTCCCTCCTAGTGTCCATGCCTTTGGCATGGTGCTTTCGAACCTTCACATGGCCGCTCTCACTCCAAGCGCTCTATGTCTTTGGCATGGCGCTTTCCACATAGTGCACGGCTTGACTCTACTCATGCGGGCTTGCCATTGGATGCATGCGACGTGCCAGCAGCCACGTCAAATCACTCACATCCAGCTTTCCTGCTTGTCGTAGAAGACGTCTTCGTTTCCTTTCCTGCAGGCTATGGAGTACATGTCTTTCAACATGGGTTCAGCGTTCACATGTCCCACCTGCACTCACGAAAAGACACCGTATCCATGCATTTACATGCACTCTCCTGGTTCTGTAGTTCTTTGGTGGCTGCTGCTAACTGGCGTTTCAAATTTTTGCGCTCTTCCTTCAGCACAGCAACCCTATCAGCCGCGGCCGGTGGGGCTGCAGCTGCCGCGGCGTTTGCATCAGCAGCGGACATGGCACTCAAGGCGGGCGAACAACAGGCTTGCTCCACTCAAACTGCATGCAGTCCTCAAGATGATCCTGTGTTTTCTTTGTGCTTGCCTGGTACCTCCTTTTCACCCCTGTTCACGACCCCAGAAACATGGCTACGAGAATGTGACAAAATGGTCATGCACCGATGTACCCTGATAGTATATATATATTGTTATTATATATATATATAACTCTAAAACTTGGAAGACCATCCAACTTGACTGAGAACTGGTTAGGAACTGGCGTCACATAACCCAGCTATATGGGATAAACACTGTTGAGGGACTTGTTAATCAGGGTTAATGACCACTACCGTGCAGGATCCTGCGGATCTCAGTGGCCATCCATGGTCCGTGCAGACTTGGCGATGGTCATCTGCGTCTTGACATCCCGATGGAAAAATGCGAATCTAGGTGGAAGTAAAATTTACTTTCGGAGGAGGTCAAAAGACACACCCAGAAGACACACCTAAGACTATCGTAAATTCGTAAATTATATATCTAGATGGATTTCCATGGGTCTCTTATGCTCAGTGAACCAACAAGAAAATAGAACACGTGCAGCATCCCCTCTAGCCCTAGCGTCCAGGCTTGTAGTAAGGGCCCTGGATGCGGACCTTCTGTCCTGCCGTTGGGGCAACGGGGACCAGAACCCCCTGGTGAAGCCCAAAATGGCAGATGGTCATCCCCCAGAAATTGTATTGGTTTTGACCCATCCCCATGGTTTATGCAGTCACCTTCCAAACCCCAAGCGACTGGTGACAAGGTGATCCTTTTTCCCTGGAAAAATATACGACAACCACCAACAAATTGTGATTCTACATAGTCTTACCATGATTTCTTCGCCAATAAACAGGCACCAGCATCATTTTGCCAACAGTTGTTTCGAGGGTACACATTTCGCTACACAGGCCGGCCATCCCAAGCCACTCGAAAAGAACTCCCGTTTCGCTGGGCTCCTGTGGCAATGGTACCGGAGAAGACACGGCCGAAGGCATAGAAGCGGCCCTTGTCGGAGGTGGGAACCATCTTGGAGACGTACATCATCAAGGGACCTATCAGAAAGCGTGGATAGCTGATCCGGCTGACTATGGCTGATCCCAGCAAAAAATGGGTGAATTGAACCCAAACAAAATGAGCTTCTGACATATCTGACATATCTGACATGTTTCGAGCGATAAAAATGGTGGCGAAACGAAGTGCTGGTCTGACGGGTGGCCACTTTCGATCCCGATATTCTGGCTGTAGGCTGCGATCTGAGGCTTCTCAACTTCTCAACCCGTGGCCTCCCAGCCTCCCAGCCTTTCTTCGCCAAAGTTTCAAAGTTTGGATTCAAAGTCGGCTCAAACTCATGAGATAGTTATCTTATGTACAGTAATTCTTATGTTAACTCATGTTATTTTCAAAATCATCAAACCATATCACACCCACATCGTGAACCATATCAAACTTTCAAGGTTGGTCCAAAACGGGTCAGCTTCCATCTCCCCGGGATTTTTTTCTGCGATTGCCCACCTGCAGGGTCGCAAGAACGGATGCCCTGCGCTGCGGCATCATCCATGGGGCCCTCGTACAAGTTCTCCACGCGGTACTTCTGGGCCGTCCTGGTGGGGCTGTCCATGGCCCTTCCCACCATCGATCCGCCGTCCCAGCTCCAAGGCCTTCAGCCCAACCGGGCCTCGGGGAGGGCAGCTTGGTCACGATCATTGCCAGCAGCGTGTCCGCGGCGTTGATCCAAATCTGCATCGTGCGCTTCATCAGCGGCTTGCCAGTGAGCGCCTTCTCGTCACCTCCAAAACGCCCAGGGCAAACAACATGGATGGTGACTTTTGTTGGGATTCTTCTTGTGGATGTTGGTGATATACTTGGGATTATGTGTTTTCTTTGGATGATTTTGGATGATTTTCTCGATGAATGTCTGGATGATGTTCGAAGATGTTTGGAGGATTTCGGGTGATTTTTGGGGAAATGGTTCACGGCAACAAAAAAGAGAAATCCAACCTGGCAATATAGGGGATTATCCCCTGCCAGATTGCCAGGGGGCCAGGGAGTAACAAAATATGAGGCCTTGTCGAAAAAACATATTCAATCATATTCAGCTATTTGGTCGCCACTCTTGTTTGAGAAAATTAGACGGCTAAGGGTCAGTTCACGCCAGAACCCTGTGCCAACATAGCTGGTAGTTGTGGATATGCATCGTTCATGCAGGTTTTTAGCAACAGGTTTTGATCTCTCCCTAGAAGGACCTAAAATAACAAACCCTCAAGCAGGGGGTGTTCCCAAAGCTCAGCATGGAACCCTTCAGGACGATTCCCAGCGTTCCCATCATCTTCTCATACTTCTCCTGGACACGTCATGGGGCATTCACCCTCAAACGACCTAAAATGACCAAAAAACGACATCAAAAAGCACTGCGGCTTGTCACCACCTGAAAGACACATCTGAAGGCTATGGCTACTATGGCCCCCCACCCCATCATAAACTGGAAGATGAGGTTGTCGCTCAAGAAAACTTGCAAATCTTAGGATCCGATTCTGAATCGGGAGCAGGGTAAATCGGATGCACTCCGCTGCCCTCAGACTTGGCAAGCTCGAAAATCCCTGAAGTAAATGGAGGTTTCGTTCGCTGGGAAAATCATCGAACTAGTCGGTGGATTTTCCAGCACGCCATTTGGTGTTAAGTGGAAGGGTGAAATCTATTCGTACTTGGTGACTCATACCACTTGGTAAGTGGGATCATCCACCACGTATCCCATTCATATCCCATTTAATCCTTAAGTATCCCATTGAATTGAAATCACTATAAAATCCGACTAATTGAATGACTATATAAATTAAATTCAATTAAGTATGTGTTCATTCATCCGACAAATAAATCTAATAATCTCCTTGTCATCGTTCATGATGGCACGCATCAGCTGGTTAATGGGTCCCATGATGAACTGGCAGAAGGCCCTCTGCAAAGGCTCGGTGCAGCCCTCTGGCTGCTGCACGTTGGTCCACACCTGGCGGCGGTCGAAAGTGCTGGATGGATTTCACCGTGGGAAAATTGTCCATTTTTCCTGGGAAAATGGTATGGTATGGTATGGTTACCATTCCAATGTCATGTAAAAACCACCCATGACTTCCTGGGAATGGTTTTTCCATACCATACATACCATACCATACCATACCACCTCAAAAAAAAATGCCGGAGAACCACAAGAAAACCCATGCAGATCGCAAAAAGCATAGCATCATCAGCATCACTAGCCACCAGCCCACTTTGGGCCATCTACGCGACACATTGGTACAGCACATTTTTTTATTATGACCCCCCAATGGCAACTTCAACCCTTCCCCAATCCCGTTCAACCCCATCCCAGGGCATCAATGTGTTGTACAAAGTACAAAGGTCCTTACTTTCAGCTATTGTATACACGGCACAGGTCAAGAATTCGCGCCATCCGTTTTTGCCCGGAGTACCCTTGCCCGCCCTTGCTTTTGTAGAACAGGGACATCCTCCGGTCATCAATCTCAACTCAAGCCAATCAGAGACATTCAAAGATCCAAAGGGTGCCAATGGGTTTTGTTTGATAGGGCATCAGTACATGCCATTGAGCCTCTCTTGGAGTGGCAAAGCATAAGAAAGCGTTGCTCCTGGCATTTGATGTGTGTGTCACTTTTTTTTGTCATTCTGCCTGTTGCTATTTGTGCAAAGATGCGCGCTAAGGGCTTCTCCATGCCCGGACGAGGGAAAGAGACCAGAGAGACCTCTATCTACATAGTGTTAACATACGTATGTTAACATGTGTTCACAGTGTTAAGGAAGATGCTCAGAAAGAGCGGGTTAACATAGTTACTTGGCCAGTGGGCGCAATTATTTTAGTGTATTGAACAATAGCAGTCAGTTTGACACGGAGTTGAAGCGTGGCTTGGCAAATGCGGACAGCAGTCAAGGTTTTGAAGCATTGAGACAGCTCAAAAAAATTACACCAGCACTGTTAAGGCCTGCAGACTACGGCGGCCACTACACCCTGTTTTGTGGCTGCAACGTAAAGTGCATTTTGGCCAGTCCCACGGCAAGGGATGCGCAGTTTCGTGTCATCCATTTTCATTTGCTGCTTCAAGGTTCACATGAGACCAATGAAGATCACGAAGGCCAAAGGCACCTTGCAGAGATTGTGTGATGACGATCCACATTCAACGTATGTAGTATGATGACAATGATCAGTAACTCAGCATTTGCCGCTCTGAATTGCGTGCTCTTGCGAAGCGTTGAAACTCCACACACAGCGAGGACTAATTATGTTGTTTAGAAGTTTAGAGGTCAGGTTTTGCTCAAGCCATTCAAGCATTCCAGTTGATCCTGCAGTTTGATGAATAGAAAACCGTACATGGGAGGTGGGACATGTGCGCTTCGAAAGACCGGGTACACCAAATGGATCCAAATGGCAGTTTGCTGTGGGCAGTTTACTATTTTGATTAGAAAGTTGCATTGCCCAGAGTTGGCGCAAAGATGCTAAATTTGGCTGTAATTTCGTGGTCAGTGTGGATGGTGGATGCTGGACATTCAATGAGAAGATACAGTAGCCCTTTAGTTTATTTGGAATGCAGCGTTTGGCCACAGCATCATGCAATTTCATGCAGCTACTGTAAGAGATGTTGCATTTGTTAAAGCAAGAACAGGCGAGCCAAAGATAGCTGGTTTTTGAAAGGTGACAGTTGAAAAAAAGGAACTCAACCCAAAGAGAGTAAAAGAACATGCTGGGTAGATGTGAGCAAAACCGATTAACTACATACTTAGTGCATCTTAGCATCATTTGTTCCAAGATTTGGTCCCTTGTGATCCCTTGTGCATATTTTGCTGCCATGGGATCTGCGGTGTCCAGCATTCTACCCTTCGTTGAGCAGAGCCCATGGCGATGTTGCAGTGGTTTGCCCTTGGCAAAGACTTCAAGGCATGAGCCGACAAAGTGAAGACGCGCAAGGATCTGCAGCCGGATGAAGTGCAGACATGGATCCGGGGGCCTTCTTCCAAGGAGCGCCTTGAGAATGCTTTGCGTGCCTCCTACGTAGCACAGGTCACCCAGAAGACCAAGGGACACCGAAGGAAGGGAAAGGGCACCCAAGGAGCCCCCAGGAAGCAGGACACAAGCAGAAGCCCGGGCAACCCCAACCCCCCCACCCTGGCAGTCCCAAACGAACAGTCACCAAAGGGAACCTTTAGGACCCTGTTCTAATGTGACTGCAACTGAAAGAGCAAAAGTTCAATTAAACTGAATCTAAAATTCAAGAAGGGAAACGGGAGACCGCCAGGGAAAGAGGGACACAAGAACACAGGAAAATAACGCAGCCTACACAAAAAGGCGAAACCAAAACTCAAACTAAAACATCACCAACTGAAATAAACCAAAATCAAAACAACGACAAGAACAACCAACCCAACATGCAAATGCCGAACTGAAATGAGTTGACGCCAGCTCTCTTCTTTTTCCGCGGTTGGTTGCTATTGATTTGATCTGAAGCCATGCCAATAAGTTGGCTGCAAAAATCTTCCAGGCCATGTGACACTTCCGGCCACACAGCTGTCCAACGCCTTCGTCAGAGGCCAGTGAGTGATGATGACACCCACCTTTAGCGAGCTGGGCTCTGAATCTCAAACTGACCTCACTACTTTCCAGCAGGCTTGTAGCCCTCACCTGAAACTGAAGCTGCAGGCCACATCTTCAGCGAGTCCCTATCCCAAAAATCCTCTCTAGCAGCCCACAATTCATTCAGCAAATCAAGCTTCAAACCTTCAAATGTTTCTGCAACCTGCAACTCTGAAGGAAAACTGGAAGTTCGACCATTGGTCAAATCGTCTGCATCTTGGTTCTCGTCTCGTGGCCGTCATCACAAAGTGAGCTGCAGAGATGACCTAAACAAATGATGAGAAAGCTGCATGTTGATGAGCATGAGAGGCGAGGAAAACTCCAAACATCGATTTTGAAGCTACACAGTGTCAAAATTGGAGGAAGTCTCGCACGAAATGTTCGTTTTGATGCTCCCAAGTGTCTCGTCTCGAGTCTCTGGTTCTCCTGTGGCACCGCCGTATGGGGGAAGCTGCAAAACATCTCCTTGTCGAACGTTTCCAAGCAGGTTGTCATGTCATTTTGCATGGCAGGCGCAGCACTTTGTGACATTCCAACCTGTTTGATAACGCGTCGAAAGTCGTTTTTGTGGCAGGCGCAATACTTTTGCGTCGTTTTCACAAGATGAGTTGCAGTTTTCGTGGCAGGCGCGCCATTTTGGAGATCTCTGTGTCGTCATTTTGCGTGGCAGCACTTCAGACGTGTCGCACCGCGTGCTCTACACTCCACACTCTACACTCCACACTCCACCCTTTACACTTCACACTCCACACTTTACATTCCACACTTTACACTCTACACTCCAAACTCTACAATTTACACTCCACACTTTCCACTCCACGCTTTACACTCCACACTTTTCACTCGAAACTTTGCACTCCGCACTCTACACCCTACACTGCACACTCTACACTTTACACCCCCACTTTACACTTTACACTGCCAACTTAACACCCCACACTCCACACTTTACATTTTACACTCCACACTCCACACTTTACACTCCACACTGTACACTTCAGACTCCACACTCTACACTTACACTCCTCACTCCACACTCCACACCTTACACTTTGCACTCCACACTTTACACTGTACACTCCACACTACACACTTTACACTTTACACTGAATACTTTACGTGCGAGGCGCTGCCACGACTTTGCCTCCTCCTTGCCGTCCGTACTGAAGTAATCCACCCATGCGGCGGCGGCCTCGGCCAGACTGAGCTTCGGCTTGTCCCCGGCAAAGTTCCTGTCAAAGACTTGGGCGGCCGCGCGTAACTGCTTGGCCTTGGACTTGTCCATGTCAGCGGCCAAATGGTCAAGGCCCAGCTTCTGCAAGCACTTCACGGGATCACTGAGGTAACGGTCCACAAAGTCTGCCATCATGTTGATAGTGCCACCAGCTTCGCTCAGGGCAACGCCCATGCGGTTGCACGCCTCGGCTGTGTTGGGGCTCAGCCGGTCCAGGACATTGCGCAAGGCTAAGTGGCCAGCATCTGACATTGCCCTTGTATAGAAAGGGCTCCCGCTCTCGGAGGCATGGCCGGAGCGACGCCTTCCCAAAGTGCCACTTGGAGTCCACGGCCTGCAAGTACTTGGGTTCCCACTTCCTCTGCTCGTCGTTGTCGCTCACGGCATCCGGCTGTTCGCGGCGACGCGTGCTGCCACCAACCTTGCCCTTGTAGTTGTTCTTGCCCATGGCGGTCAAAGGCCGGAGGTTAAACACTTCAGCGGGGGGTAAATCTGAAATGGCTGAGGAATTGAAATAAAAGCATTGAACAGGAAAGGATCCAAGGCATGGCTCTCAATGTGCAGAACACAGACCGGAGAGGAAATGCAACAGTAAATAGACAAAATCGTTTGAGGTAGGCCCCGCAGCAGATGCCGCATTGATCTCAAATTTAGCTTCTGGAAGCCCGTAGCCAAACAACACGGTGTCCAAAGCGCCATGCCAGCAGGCGTACTTTTTTGCTGCGAAAAGGCAACGCGCTCTTGATCCGCAGCTTTGCGCCAGCGCAGCGCAGAAGAGTAATGCTTCGCATTGCAGCACCGACAGAAGACGTGTCATTTCAGTGGCATGAAGGCTATGGGTCAAAGACATTTAGGAATATTACGCGGCCATCGATCACCTGAGGCCCATGCTTCTGATCGCGGCATCAGCCCCGGAAGCACGGGACATAGCCGATCTCTTGGGGTCGCCCTGCCAGTACCCAATCACGATGAGAGCGTAACAGCTTTTGGCCGTGAAGGAGATAGACTTCACCAGCTCCGGGAGATGGGAGTAGGCGGCGTAGCCAGGTCCGCAGCGGGGCGGAAACCAAGTAGAACCACATGCAGGTATCACCGCAACACAGAGCGCAGATCAGCACACATTGGCCAAAACACAGTAGTTTGGTATGTGTGTGGAATTGCTGTACAGTTCCGGGGCAAACAACGACAACTGGAGCCATTTGCTCTATGCCCGCCGTCAGTCACTTGCATTTCAATGCCGTCACCGCTGAGGCATCAACGCCCAAACTGCAGATCGCGAGAAAAAACAACATTGCCCAACGGATTGAACATGTTTCCGCACATCGACTACAAACCGAAAGCTGCTTGGAAGCACAAATGTTGGAAAACATGGTGGAAATACACCAACAAATTGTTATACTTTGTTGCTGTGTGCAGAAAATGAAAATCAAACGATTCCGAGATACGGAAAAAAAAAGACGCGTATTTTCCTGAGATCTGTCCACTATGAAAGACGTAAAAAAAAGCACCTTTTGCGGGACCAAACTATCAGTGAAAAAGCAAACTATATCTCCAAATTGTCCAACTTAAGTGGATCCATCTTCACTATCCCAGTCACTCTGCAAATGCCTCCTTTCCTGCCCAGTCGGCACATCGGAACTGTCTGCCTTCTTCTTGGCATTGAAGAAGGAATCGCCCCACATTCGCTGCATCATCTTCTCCTTCTCAACACCCATCTTCTGTGCGTAGATCTTGGCAAATCGCTCCTGATATACCAGGCTGGGGTGGACCCAAGATCATCAAATGATCCATGTTTGAAAAAAAACGCCAGATTTTGGGGTACAAAATCATCAAATCCTTTTGGACCAACGGCTGGTTGGAACTTCTGATCACCCGATACCAACCATATCGTCATCTTTGCGAAAAAAACCAAAAAGGAAAAGGTTCTCGCCTTCCAGCTCCGCTAAACAAAACATGGTATACATGGTGTCTTTTGATAGATGGTGCATAACCATGCCAATCATGGATGACATCATACAGTAATACTTTGGCCCCTTTTTTCATCCCACATGAGTTTGTTTTTGAAAATGGGGTATCCAAAAATTACATGATCAATCATCATTTTATCAACAGAATTGCCAAATTCCTCAATTTGGACAAACCCCCAAATCATATTGTTTGTTGTATCATATCATATACCATTAAATTATATTGTTTCCACTTTTATCCAGTTATATCGCGTTATATCCTTCAAGATGGTCGGCTTCATACTCTATTTTTGCTTCGTTAAATCCTCCTCAATCTCCAGATATCACACTTGGTTCGACCCCAAACCAGACAAACCATGTCGCAACCGGAGTCCAACCTCGGGACCCCCCATCCCCACATCACCCCAAGGGCTCCGTGGTGAAGCCCCAGCCATGCAGGCCGCTGCCAAAGGCCACAGTGCCCTTCTCTGGCTGCACCTGGACGTCGCCCATCAAGCTGTCGTTGTAGGTGGCGATGATCACGTTCCTCGGCCGAAGAAAGACAAAAAACCGCCAAGTTATTGGCTTATCACTTCAATACCTGCTGCAATATATCTTCAACCATATGACCTATGATATTATGTATACGATTGGACATATACCAGCAATTATTGAAGTTTCAAGGGAGAAAATGAGGATTGACCATGATTCACCAGCATCTTTTGATCCTATCCTGAAACATCGGCGAAAGTAATCGAGCCACACGTTCTCAATGGCATTTCGGAAGCGGGAGTACATGTCCTCGGCTTCCATCTGCAACTCCAAGATGCAGCGATCCACCTGGCATCCCATCCCCAACCCCAACCCCAACCCCAACCCCATGGTCACCGAGTGATTTGGAAACTATAACAGCGGATTTGGAAACTATAACAGCGGATTTGGAAACTATGATTTGGAAACTATAACAGCGGATTTGGAAACTGGGAACAGCTGATTTGGAAACTATGATTTGGAAACTATAACAGCGGATTTGGGAACTGAGAACAGCGGATTTGGAAACTATGATTTGGAAACTAAGACACGTGATTTGGAAACTATAACAGCGGATTTGGAAACTATGATTTGGAAACTATGAGGTGTGATTTGGAAACTGGGAACATCAGACTTGGAACCGTGATGGGGGGGAAGTTTAAAAAATGACTTGGAATCGTGACAAGAAGTCTTGGAGAGGGGAGACTGTGAAGCTGAGAATACTCTTGCATGTAAGGTTTAGGGGGGGAGTTTTAAAAATGACTTGGAATCGTGACAAGAAGTCTTGGAGAGGGGAGACTGTGAAGTTGAGAATACTCTTGCATGTAAAGGTTTAGGGGGGGAAGTTTTAAAAATGACTTGGAATCGTGATAAGAAGTCTTGGAGAGGGGAGACTGTGAAGTTGAGAATACTCTTGCATGTAAGGTTTGGGGGGGGAAGTTTTAAAAATGACTTGGAATCGTGACAAGAAGTCTTGGAGAGGGGAGACTGTGAAGTTGAGAATACTTTTGCATGTAAGGTTTTAGGGGGGGAAGTTTAAAAAATGACTTCGTATCGTGACAAGAAGTCTTGGGGAGGGGTGACTGTGAAGTTGAGATTACTCTTGCATGTAAAGGTTTAGGGGGGGGAAGTTTAAAAAATGACTTGGAATCGTGACAAGAAGTCTTGGAGAGGGGAGACTGTGAAGTTGAGAATACTCTTGCATGTAAAGGTTTAGGGGGGGGGAAGTTTAAAAAATGACTTGGAATCGTGACAAGAAGTCTTGGGGAGGGATGACTGTGAAGCTGGAATACTCTTGCATGTAAGGTTTAGGGGGGGGAAGTTTTAAAAAGTACTTGGAATCGTGACAAGAAGTCTTGGAGAGGGGAGACTGTGAAGTTGAGAATACTCTTGCATGTAAAGGTTTAGGGGGGGGAATAGTTTCCTAATCGTAGTTTCCTAATCGCGCGGAATAGTTTCCTAATCGTAGTTTCCTAATCGCGCGGAATAGTTTCCTAATCGTAGTTTCCTAATCGCACGCAATAGGTTCCTAATCGTAGTTTCCTAATCGCACGCAATAGGTTCCTAATCGTAGTTTCCTGATCGCGCGGAATAGTTTCCTAATCGTAGTTTCCCAATCGCGCGGAATAGTTTCCTAATCGTAGTTTCCCAATCTCGCGGAATAGTTTCCTAATCGTAGTTTCCTAATCGCGCGGAATAGTTTCCTAATCGTAGTTTCCTAATCGCACGCAATAGTTTCCTAATCGTAGTTTCTTAATCGCGCGTAATAGTTTCCTAATCGTAGTTTCCCAATCGCGCGGAATAGTTTCCTAATCGTAGTTTCCCAATCGCGCGGAATAGTTTCCTAAGCGTAGTTTCCTAATCGCGCGGAATAGTTTCCTAATCGTAGTTTCCTAATCGCACGCAATAGTTTCCTAATCGTAGTTTCTTAATCGCGCGCAGTAGTTTCTAAATCGCGCGGAATAGTTTCCTAATCGTAGTTTCGTAATCGTAGTTTCTAAATCGCGTATAGTTTCCTAATCGTGCAATGTCCCCAACCCAACCCCATCCCATCCTCCAATTTGTTCGTGAAAAGTCACCATCACCATCCCCATCTCCCCACCCCCATCTTATACCACCATTTTTCTTGAAATCCCATTAAAATCACCATTAAAATGATTAAAATCCAGAATCCCCCTCCCCAACCCCATTTTAAATCGTGGCAAAGGCCAGAACTTCGGCCGCACAGGCTCTGTTTCTTCTGGCTCTTTTCCAGGAGTCGACTTCTGTGGGTCAAGGTCTGGCTGATTTCCCATTCAACTTCTCCAAAAAAAAAAATTAAAAAAACACATCCCAGGCCTTGTTCACAAAGAGGCAGGGCCTCACGCGTTCCTGCAGCGCCTGGCGCAGCACCGTCTCGGTTTGCACGGCGCAGCCCTCGATGCAGTCCACCACCACCATGGCGCCATCGGTGATGCGCAGGGCCGCGGTGACCTCACCACGATAACATGGCACGACAAGGACGAGAGGATGATACTAAACTATACTATATAGACTATATAATACTATAAAGACTATAACTATAATGAACTAACAATGATGATGACTTGACTATACTGACTATACTGACTATACTGACTATACTAAACTGTTGGATACTGATAGTTCATCCTATCCCCAGCAATCCACCAACATCCTAGCAATCCACCACGATCATTTTGTGACCCATCGGTGCCTCAGAGGAGAAATCCACGTGGCCTGGGGAGTCAATCAAGTTGATCAAGTGAGGAATAGCTCCCTTGCCATCCTCCTCATCATGCTCGAAGTACAGCGACACGCCTTGGCGTGTCAAAAAGGAAGCTGGATTTAACTGTGAATGGTTGGAGAATCATAACAATCATATTACAATACTTATAGAAATATTTATCAATATTAATAAATCATTATACAACAACAATGGTACAAGAACGATAGTAGTAACTAATAATATACTAGTTTTGACACAACGCTCACAGTAACTTAATCATGGATCGATGACATGGATCTGTAAGGGAAAAATCTTCGCCGGAAGCCAGTGATTTTACCGCAAAATATCGGATGTCTGCTCATTTTTGTTCCTGCAGCAAAGTCTGGAATGTGCGAAGAAACAGTTCGTTCAGTCCATCTCATCTTTCCATTTTCAGAAGAAAATCCTTTCAAAGAATCTCCAAAGTTCAGCACTCCCACGTAGGAACTCAATTTCTTCCTGTGTCTCAACCAGTTTGATTTGTGATAACCGAACCAATATTTTTTTTTCCTGTGACTGAAGGATTCCAAACCACCAGGTCACCAATTTGTTTACTGAACTGGTTTTGATGCAAATAATCCCTTCAATGCCTTCCCCCCTAATATTAAACACCTGCAATATTAAGCACCTGCTAAATGATCCCAATGATGTGGAAAATCCCTACATCCGCTATGGTTTCTAAGGGGTTGGATGTTCACGGCAGACCCTTGGATGTTGTTGCCCCCACCACGCCCACCACACCCAGCACACGTCAACCTGCCACGACACAACCAGGTACCTTATTATGTATCCACACGTCACTCAAATGTCCAAGACTTCCAAGACGTCCAAGACTTCTCCCTGAAAAATCTATCCCATCTGTGTGTGAAAATATACCGTATACAGATACCCATGGCTGGCTATTTTAATGGAGAGAATGATGATCATCCAATGGATGGATCGGGTCACCAAGGCTTCACCTATTGGCGTCACGGAATTTCAGGCCGAAAAATAGACCACTGGACCACCCATGATCCAAGCACTGGATGAAAATGCCGTAAATGTTATCTTATTATCATCCACGGAATCAAATGAAACCTTGAAATTGAAAAACCACCAAATGAATCATCATATCATATCATATCATATCATATCATATCATATCATTGATCTACATTCCTCATCATCCATCCCAAAAAACCTCATCAAAATCTGCGCAGCACATCACCCACCACCATTCCTCACCCAACCTGCCAGTTCCCCCCACCCGGTGTCCACGGAGTTCGGAGTCGCGGCACCGGTGCTTTTGATGGTCACGCCACGCTCCTGTTCATCCGCCCGGGTGTCGGTGAAGCGCGCATCTCCCGCCGCCTTGGCGCTGATGATGCCAGCCTTGCAGATCCTGACGTGGGGAGAACCACTGTGCATTAGCAGAAATCCTAGCAGAAACCAGGAAAATCCGAAAAAAATGGAAAGAAAGGTGGAAAGAAACCAAAAATTTGGGCTAACATGTTTCTTTTGGTGGAATTGTGGGTGGTTTCACAGATTTAAATATACAAACTATACTATACTGCAAAGAACTAGTTGTTTTTGTATAAATGTGTGTGTGATGTAAATCGAACAGTTCGAATTATCACATTTTTTCCACGGGGATATGAACCAATTGCTGTAATAACAGTCTAATTGTCTTGGAAAATTTGCTGAAAAATGCGATGTCTATTTTACAGACATGACATGATTTTAATGGGGACCTAGCAATAAATGTCGGTATTTTTTGGCCCTAAGAAGCAAGGAGGAAAAATCGCGTTGCCACATCCAAGTTATTGGGAAATTCCGATGTGGTTTCACCTATGGTTGTAGGGTACCCCCAAACTTGGAAAACACCCATCTGGTAAACTATTTGTAGGAGTGGTTCCGGCATGTTCCGGCGACCCCCCAATTCATCACACAGAATTTTGTTTTTTCCGAATTTGACATGAAAAAACCAAAGAGGCCAAACCAACAGTGTCAAAAATTAAGAAATTGAATGCGGAAAAATATCACCACGTCCAAAAAAAATTTCCACAAAATCGCCAACACTATCCATTTGCCCAAGGTACAAGGAATCTGTCAGGGTGGATTTGCCGTGATCCACATGTGCGATGACACTCATGGAGCGGATATTATCCGTCTTGTCCATGATCTGTCGCATCTGGTCCACTGTAAAGTTCGGCATGGCGCGTCAAGAAACTCTCGCGTTACCGCGACAAAAACAGTGGGTGACCAAAGCACCAAAATCCACGACTGGAACAGCTGGAAAAGTTGCAACGGCCAAACAGAAAATTTGGATACTGACTATATAATTCAACTGGATACGATTCAATCTACAATACAATTGTGACGATTCGTTCATATTGGAGTTGTCCAAATTTCAAGCATGACCATAGATCATCCCACTTCCCCGCAATCACAGAACTGAAGCACAAGGGCAAATCTGCACATAAACAAATACAGTATTTGTTTCATTTGTTGCTACGTATTAACTACGAATCGAAAACAAAATTTTTACCTCTCAATTGATCAAAAAAATCATCCGCGTTGCCATTGGGTCGGTCGACCGACATGTTGCATAACACCATGATCTTGCCACTCATTTTTTTTACACCTTTCCGCACGATGGTTTCAATTCGAGGTTCCAACCTGCTTGGAGATGTGTTTCAAAATGGATCTCCGGCTCCGGATTTTCAGTTCCCAAAACTGTATTTACGGTTCCCGTGCGTTTCTCTTCCGGGGTTGGGTTTTTCGGTTCCCGTGGGAGTTTTCTGGTTTCCGCTGACGTTTTTGATTTCCATGGGTGTTTGTGGTGCCTGCATGGGTCCGCGGTTCCGCGGTTCCTGGAAACAAGTTTTCAGGAGGCCGCCAGGTCTCCAGGTTCCCAGTTCGGTCTTTTTGTTTCCCGCTGCACCGGCTCAGAGGAAAGGTAGTACAAGAAGGCTGGAAGGGTGTTTTCAGTTTTTGTCGAAGAGATGTGCGACAAATACCATTAGCACCGCTAGAACCATCATTGCCACCACAAAAATCACCAACAGCACCATCATCACCATCAGCACCCATGATCACCATCGTCACCATCAGCACCCACCATCACCAGCATCACCATCTGCACCCACGATCACCATCAGCACCATCATCACCATCAGCACCCATGATCACCATCATCAACAGCATCACCATCATCACCATCATCATCATCACCATCATCACCATCACCACCATCATCACCATCATCACCACCACCATCAACACCGTCAACACCTTATCACCAGCATCAACGACATCAGCATGAGCATCACCACTATCTCACTATCACACCAGTCCCGTCATCTTCACCACCACAATGACCACATCCATCCCCATCCCCACTATCACCACCAGCCCCACCAGCCAACACAGGCAAGCTTGCACCATGACTCGCGCCCAATTGTCAAAGAACTGCCAAAGAGTGATGGTAGATTTGGCTCGCAACTACAGGTAAAACGAGCGTTTTTTTCCCAAACGCGTCTGAGCGCAGGGTTCTTCCAATAGTGGGGGTCTGTAGAACATCTTCTCATCTTCACATTTTCTCATCTTCACATCTTATTATCTTCACATCTTCTCATCCTCACATCCTCACATCTTCACATCTTCTCATCCTCACATCCTCACATCTTCACATCCTCACATCTTCACATCTTCTCATCTTCACATCTTCACATCTTTTCATCTTCACATCTGCTCATCTTCACATCTGCTCATCTTCACATCTGCTCATCTTCACATCTTCTCCTCTTCACACCTGCTCATCTTCAAATCTTCAAATCTGCACATCCTCATATCTTCACATCTGCTCATCTTCACATATTCACATCTTCGCGTCTGCTCATCTTCACATCTTCACGTCTGCTCATCTTCACATCTTCTCATCCTCGCATCTTCACATCTTCGCATCCTCGCATCTTCACATCTTCACATCTTCTCTCTTGCCCTCTTGCTCTCTCCTTCCAATTCGATGGAGCTCTATGTGCATTCATGTCGTAAAACTTTGCACCGCTAAGTTGTGCCTTGAAACCAAAACAAAACCTATCGCGATCAAAGTTACCCAAAGGCTTTTCCACAAATACACAAACGTGAGTCAAACTCTCCCTGCTCTCTCGCTCAAATCACTCCAGACAACAAGCAACGCTTCAACACACACTCTGTTTCTCTCGCTCGGGCTTGAGCCAACGAATGTCGTTGGGTGTTCAGTTCAAATACTGTTTAAAGGCGACAAAAACCAAGGAGGGGTTTTTGTCTAAACTGCAAACTGGATTCCAGTCTTGACGAAATTCCGAAAAGCGATCCACTGAGGATCAAAAGCTTTCATTCGGTTCTCAAACTGTTGAAATATTTCCAAACTGTTCAAATAATGTTCGGTTTCCTACAAAAACATCAAAACTCTCAACTACAAAACGAGACGAGTGCAACCGCAGTGTCGGTTGTGCTCGTTGAGTGTCACGAGATGCTCTATGAAGCATCGATCATCCAAAAACATCTAAAAGTATATCTTCCACAGATGATATTCGGTCAAATCAAAACTACAAACTACGATCTGTCCATTCACAATCGTTCCACGTCGAAATAGGCTCGTCCACAGACGATACTTGGTGAAATCAAAACTGTGCAACGTCACTGATCTCTCAGCACTATACCAGGTAGGATTTTCACACCCCCTTTCGATGAGAGGTCAGTATGGAACCTTCGTCCAATACGTAGTGCAGTCAATGCAACGCACTGCAATCCAGAAAGTCATGGCGTCCCATCACAATCCAGAAAAATCTAGTCCTCTGAAATACCTGCAATAGAAGAAGTTGACGAAGCAGTTCTTCGCTGGCGAGGTACTGAATCTCCGAATAAAACCTGTGTAGAATGTTCCATTGTACAACATGCAGTGCACCTTGCATATTCAGTCACTGGTAGACTCTCGAAAGTACGACAAAATCGGGTCAAATGAAACTTCTGTCCTTGTTCAGAAACAAAAATACATTGCCCAATCTCAAAAGTCGAAGATGAAATACGGCAGATTTCACAAATTGTGAGCCCTCTCTTCACATTGTCCCAATCTGGATAACAACGACAACGGCGATCAAGATGATAACACCTCTCCGCAGTTCCAATGTCCAAATGATAGGAAGACGAAGTCTGAGCTCTGTGCATTTGTCTGAAGTCTGACGTTTCACCTGCTGTAGCCTGAGTATATTCAGCCTGAATTGTCGCATCCTTCAACTCTGGACTAACTTTCTCAATAACTGTCTTACGTTCCAGTGCTCCACAAAGCCAAAATCACAACTGTCCCTAAAGATCCAATCATCACTCCAGTCAATGCAGAAAATAGCACCACAATGAGAAGCTCATCCATGGCTGGCGAACGCGGCGCGGCCGGCCCGGGCTACACGAAAAAGAAAACACACACACAACAGAACAAAACAACTGGAGTGTGAGCGTCCTGATGCGAGCACTCTCTCAACGGAGTTGATAGGCTCCTGAAAACTATACTGATTTATTCATCAAGGGGGGGAAAAACCACAGGTTTGGGTGGGTCTTCACGCTCTGGAAAACACGAAGGTTCCCACCTCACCCTCCCTTAAACCAAAATGTTGAGGATATAAACCTCAGATAAGATTACATGTTCAAACATGCAAGAGAAAACAGTTCAACGTGAAATGAACTGAAATAAAATAAATAAAACACCACCACTCAGAGAGTGCGCGTTGTAGTGATCTGCAGACAGAAATTGCAAAACACAGAGCTGCTAATTTTGGCAAAGCCAAAAATTTTTCCTTTATTTGAATAAAGTTTGTATCCTCCTTTCAGGAGGAGTCCCAACTTATTCATTTAGGAAAACGCAGCTCTTTGCAAGATCTCTGTAATTGTCGTCGTCGTCAGACCACTTCCGAAAAATTAAACAAACGAAAAACGCAAACGAAAAACGTTGAAGCTGACATGATCCACTCAACGGAAAGTTGGAGCACTCCTTTTTCCAAGCAGTTGGGGAACGTCGTCGTGCCCGTGCTCTCCCCATTTGAAAGCGCACATCAAAGAAGGCTCTCTAGGATGAAGTCCCAGTCTGCCTTCACTTCCGTTGACCCCAACTGCAAAACTTCAGTGCAATCCATACGGCTTGGACCGTCGGATATGTTTGAGTGACTAGGTACCCGGGCGTACCAAGATTTCAGCTTCAACCTGCTTTCGTTTTCCATGACATGTTGCACTATGTTTTGCCCAAGTCTGGTGCCTCCACAACCTTTACACAAGGCCGCCCTGGCAGCATCGTTGTCCAGGTAAAAAACAACATGGGCTGACTGCATCAGGTGTCCCCATACGCACGTTGCCACGTATATGGGAAGGAGTTCCAACTCGTAGATTGGGTTGGAGGATTCACTGAGTGCAACACGCATGAAGTCGGTAGGAACTTCACATGAGAAGTGTTGATAGCACCGTCCAGATTTGTCAACAATGACACCTCCGATGCTTCCACACCGATCACTCTCGCCTTCGCAAGCTCCATCGGTAAAAACAAGCAAGGTGTCTAATGACACAGGGCTTAGCTTAAGAGTTTCAGCTTCTGACACTCTCCTGGCTAAAAAGTCAATGGCTGCAAGTTCATGAGGTGCCAAATCAACCATCTTCTGTTTTTTCAACGCAATCTCTCCCAGGACTCGCAAGCTGTGCTGGGCAACACGGCCAAAGGCATACCCCTCGAACCATTGCATGCGTCCCCTCAAACGTTCAGCACTTTTCGGTTCCAGTTTTTTAGTTTCCAAGATTTCCATAAGTGCAGCCCTAAGCTCCTCGCGGCGCTCTTGAGTGTGGCCGATCGCGAAGCCCTTGCGCACATTGCCAAGCTCCACCAGCAAACCTAAGGTCTTTACCTGTTCACTGAACTCAACGGCTTTGGAACCCTCTTTGGCATACCACATGCCAAACAAGTCAAAAAGTGCTTCTGCAGCTATGCTTGTTCCGTGGCTCAAACGACGCTTGCAAATAACCGTAAAATCATCATAGAAAACTGTCCAACAAAGTTTGAGTCCCACGGTCCCCACATACCACAAGGCCATGCTGATACGCAAAAAAGCGCTGACAGATCCCGATGCCCCAAATGGCAACGCATTTATGCCCAGCAAACAAGGTTTACGTTGGTCACTGTCCCAAACCAAAAGT